AGGAGCAGCAGCCCCAGCTGCAGCAGGAGCAGCCCCAGCCGCAGCCGCCACCCCAGCAGCAGCCGCCATCCCAGCAGCAGTCGCCGCAGCCGTGGGCCCGTCTCCCGCCTGGCTGGCCCGGCACCTCCGGAGGTAGTGGCCGTGGTGGCGGCCCGCGCAGCTTGGCGTCTACCGGCGGCTCCGGTGCTGTCACCTGCCAGTACCAGCTTCAGACCGGGCCTTTTCGCGGCACTCTGTGCCGCCGCCCGCACCCGACCGCCCGCTGTTTCCGCCGCCTCGACGATCTCTTTCGTCGTCGCTTTGGCCCGGCCCCGGACCTCCCCGACTAGCACAGCCTCCTCCGCCAGGGCGTGCCGATCTTTGAGTTAGACATGGATCAGATAGGTGCTGCCTTGCATGCTTTGTATTCTGACGCTTCTAGTGTTGCTGGATCTTATTACCCTCTGTACTCTAGTTTAGGTGTTGCACCATTGTGTAGCTTAGCCTCCCCTGCTGCGTCAGGCGTAGGACTGCCTAGCTTGCCTAGTCTAGTCGCTGCACCGGCTCCGTCCCCGGCCTCCGCCACTGCTTCGCTGTCCTTCACTCTCGACTCCGGTGCTTCTGCCTGCTTCTTCCGCGACCGTTCCACGCTCACGCCGCTTGCTGCGCCTGCTGTTGTCTCTCTTGCTGACCCCTCTGCGGGTCCTGTCGTCGCTCGCAGTTCTACGTCCCTTCCCTGTCCAGCAGTTCCCTCGGGCTCCCTTACAGGCCTCCACGTTCCCTCGTTCTCGAGGAACCTGGTTGGTGTCGGCTGTCTCCAGGACCTCGCCGTCACCATCACGTTCCCCGGGCACGAGCGGTTCGCTGGCTGTTCTGAGGCTGTCTCAGGTTTCCCCCTTGCGACGTTCCCCCGGGACCCGGTGTCCGGTCTGTTTACCCTAGACATCGCTTCCCCCCCGGTTGGTGCATCCTCCCAGGTCGCTACAGCTTGCTCGTGTCGGTCCCTCACTCACCCGTCCCTTCTCTGGCACCACCGCTTAGGTCACCCTGCTCTCCCGCGTCTGCGTCACATGTCCCAGCACGGTCTTGTCTTAGGTCTCCCCGCGTCGCTCCTTGCCCTTCCTCCCTCGACTGCGCCACCGTGGATGCCTTGCGTCGAGGGTCTGCTCCGCCGTGCTCCTCACTCCTCGCTGCGCCCTACTACTGCCCCCCTTCAGACCCTGCACCTAGACGTTTGGGGCCCTGCCCCCGTCCCCGGACCGCGCGGTGAGCGCTACTTCCTTGTGCTCGTCGACGACTACACGCGCTACACCACGGTGTTTCCCCTCGAGCGGAAGGCCGACGTGCCCGACGTTCTTCTCCCGTGGGTTGTGGCTGCGCGTCTCCACCGCGGTCTCCCCATGTTGTGTCTCCACTCTGACCGTGGCGGCGAGTTCGCCTCTGGATGGCTTGGACTGTTCTGTCGTGCAGAGGGCATCACCCAGTCGTACACCTTGCCGGACTCGCCACAGCAGAATGGGGTTGCTGAGAGCCGCATCGGCTTGGTCATGGAGGTCGCCCGTACCTCCATGATTCATGCCGATGCCCCCCATTTTCTGTGGCCGTTCGGTGTTCGCTACGCTGCTCACCAGCTAAACTTGTGGCTACGCTCTTGGTGGCCGCAGGTTTCGCCGACCCTCCTTTGGACCGGGTCCCCCGGTGACACGTCTGCGTTCCACGTCTAGGGCTGCCCTTGCTCACGTTCGTGCCTCTGGCACGGACAAGCTCACTGCCCGCATTGTCCCCTGTGTCTTCCTCGGTTTTCCCCTGGACTCGTCTGACTGGCTTTTCTACCACCCGCCATCTCACCGCTTCCTCCACTCTCGTGACGTCACCTTTGACGAGTCTGTCTCCTTCTACCGCCGCTTCCCTCACCGAGGTCTCCCGGTTGCCCCACCCCTGTTCCTTGCTCCCTCTACCCCAGTAGCCCCTGCTCCTCTCCCGCCTCGTCCTGCCCCGTCTGGTGTCTCTCACGTCACTCCCCTCCCGTCGGTTGTCCCCGTTGAGGAGTCTGCTGACTCTGGTGGTCCCCCCGCCCCGTCCCTGCCACGTCCCCCTTCGCCGGTGTCTCCGCCTTCCCTGCCGCAGTCGTCGTCGCCGCCCCCGCCGCCGTCGTCGCAGTCGTAGTCACCGCCACCGCCGCAGCCGCCATCGCCGCCGCCGCCGCTTCCGCCGTTGGCCTCTGGGAGTGCTGGCGTTGAGGAGGGTGTTCGTCCTGCGGCTCCCTGGGGTGCTGCTGGAGTTGGAGGGGGTTCTTGCTCTGGGGGTGTTGGTTCTGGGGGTGCTGCTGTTGAGGGTTCCGCCGACGGTCGTCCTGCCTCTGCCGGTCCAAGGGTCCCGGCCCAGCAGTCGCAGCAGCCGTCACCGCCGGTCTCTGCTCTCCGCCTGCTTGGCCTTCCCTCCCCGGACAGCGCTCCGGTGTCCCCCCTTCCGCCTGCTGACCTTCCTGTCTACGGTCCTGTGTTCCCGCCGCCGGACTCGTCTCCGGCCCGTCTTCCTCCTCGTTCCTCTCTTGTGTCCCCTCCGCTGTCCCCTGACCCTACACCTCCGTCTCACGTTTGGGCTCGCCGTCCCTCCCGTGCTCGTCCCGTCTCTCCTGTCCTGCCCACCCACCCTATGCTCCGTTCCCGCTTGTCTCGTCCTCTCCTCCTCCCGTCCCCTCCTCCCTCGTCCTTTGCTGTTGCACCTCCTCCGTTCTCTGACTACCTCCGTGCCGCTCGTCCCCTTGTCCCTCGGGACCTTGCCTCTCTTGTTACCGACCCTACTGTTCCTGTCTCGCGCCTTGACGCGCTTGTCGCTGCTGTCGCTGACTTCGCCTCTACCCGCCGCCTTGACTACGCTACCGCTCTGGTCTCTGACCCTGCCCATCCTCCGTCCGTCGGGGGTGCTCCTGCCCTTGGCACTGACGTCCTAGAGGGCAGGCAGTACGAGCTTGCTTTCCTTTCCGAGGCTGCTCTCCATCTCTGCTCCATGCTGTTAGTCCCTGAGGGTGACCCAGACGCCTTCGACATCCCGACCCCTCGCACCTACGCTGAGGCCACCTCGGGACCTTGGGCCTCTCAGTGGATAGCTGCCATGGAGCAGGAGATGGCATCTTGGAGGTCCACCGGCACTTACGTCGACGCAGTTCCCCCGCCTGGGGTGAACGTAGTCGATGGTCGGTGGCTCTTCAAGGTGAAGCGCCCCCCTGGAGAGCCGCCTGTCTTCAAGGCGCGCTACGTGGCCAGAGGTTTCTGTCAGCGAGAGGGGGTTGACTTCTTCCAGACCTTCGTGCCGACCCCGAAGATGACCACTCTTCGGGCGCTGCTACACGTAGCAGCACAGCGCAACTACGAGCTTCACTCCCTCGACTTCTCTACTGCCTTTCTTCAGGGCAGCCTACACGAGCAGGTCTACCTGCGCCGACCACAGGGCTTCACTGGTACCTTCCCCCCTAGGACCCAGTGGCTTCTCAGGCGCCCGGTCTACGGCCTGCGTCAGGCTCCTCGCGAGTGGCACGACACGCTGCGGGCCACGTTAGCAGACATGCAGTTCTTTCCGTCCTCTGCTGACCCCTCGCTGTTTGTGCGTTCCGGCCAGACTCCGTTCTACATCCTTGTCTACGTAGACGATCTGGTCTTCGCTACTGCTGACAGGGACGCACTGGCCTCTGTGAAGGCCGAGCTTCTGAAGAGACACACCTACACTGACCTTGGAGAGCTGCGTCGCTATCTTGGCCTGCAGATCTCTAGGGACAGAGCAGCACGCACCATCACTCTGACACAGTCACACTTGGTCCGTCAGGTCCTTCAGAGGTTCGGTCTTCAGTTCTCCTCCACACAGCCCACACCTCTACCTGTAGACCATTGGCTCTTCGCTCCCGTTTCTGAGGAGCCAGTAGAGCCCAGTGGCCCCTACGCAAAGCTGGTGGGTTGCCTCATGTACCTGATGACTTGCACTCGCCCAGATCTCGCATACCCGTTCAGCATCCTGGCTCGCTTTGTGGCCACACGCAGACACCGACCTCAGCACGGGTCTGCCGCTAAGAGGGTTTTGCGTTATCTTGCTAGTACATCGGGCATGGGGTTAATGCTAGGAGGACGCAGGTCAGTGGTCCTTACTGGGCACACAGACGCTTCTTGGGCATACGACTCTGAGACGCTCAGGTCGTCGCAGGGCTACTGTTTTAGCCTTGGTTCGGGTGCTATCTCTTGGAGATCCACTCGCTCGTCGTCTGTGGCTCAGTCTAGCTGTGAGGCTGAGATCTACGCTGGTGCCATGGCAGCACAGGAGCTCCGCTGGCTGACCTTCTTGCTCACAGTCTTAGGTGAGCGGCCTAGCTCTGCCCTGGTCCTGTACGCTGACAACAGGGCCATGATCCTCCTGTGTCAGGAGCCTCGGCTTGAGGGCAGAGTGAAGCATATCCAGCTGCGGTACTTCCTTCTGCGCGAGCTACAGCAGCGTCGCCAGGCCCGCGTAGTTCACTTGGCCTCAGGTGCCAACACAGCTGATATCTTTACTAAGGCGCTTGCGCCTAAAGATCATCAGCGGCATTGTGTACAGCTTGGTCTTGTTCCTGTAGCTACTCCCCTGTTAGGATCCTGATTGTGTACTCTCTATTATATATGCCTGTCAGACTGGCCTTGTGGCCTTACCTCCAGTGGCTGGGCTAGTAGTGCCGCCCTGGCTTGCTTTAGTTTTGTTTGTATTCTTGCTGACTGGTCTCCAGACCCCTGCCTCAGTGGTTGGACTAGTAGTGCCACCCTGAGCTGTTTGCTTCTTGCTTAGCTTCACCCCTTGTCTAGGCTAGGGGGTGAGTCAACTTATACATATTTGCTATGTAGAAGTTATAGGCTAGATTGAGGTATGCTTCTAGTGAGTACAACCAGCTAGTGTTTGTTCTAGGTTTCCACTTCTAGTTATTCATTCAGTTCTTACTTTGACAGGGGGGGGGGGGGGGGGGCGAGGTGCAGCACTGAGAGCTGTGGGTGACACTGCAGCAGGGCTTGAGGTGAGAGACGGTGAGTGAGGGAGCGAGTGAGAGTGCACGTGCAGGAGCAGGTGAAAGATCTTGTGAGGCTGTGAGCAAGGCTGTGAGCACGGCTGTGGCCGAACAAGGGAGTCTGTAACCCTGGCGGCACTTGAAGAGGCAGTGAGTGTGAGTTGGCAAAGTGTTAGCAGCACCACCAACCATCACAGCACACACCCTTGCATAATGGAGTCTCAAATGCAATCCCCTCATGCAATCCGTTCAATCACTTGAGGCACTGACTGCGAGTGGGCGTAGCTTTCGCACGTGGAGTGGGTGCAGCGACAGCATAGCAGAGCCCCCTACGACCTTGGTTTTCCGTTTTCCAATGTTCAGCTCAAACGCAATCCCCCCCATCATCATCACTTGGTGAGGCACTGCAACTGGACGTAGTCTCTGCTCCGCACGTGGAGTGAAAGCACCGCCAGCATAGAGTGGGTGCAGTGCCAGCACTGCCCTCCCTGCTGCCTGCCTCATCACGGCATTATCTTCAAGCAAACGTTCCAAGTTCCAACCCAAGGGCAATCTCCTCCTCATTTCTTGATGAGGCATTGCGTGTGCATGTAGTCGCCGCATGTGGAGTGGGTGCAGCGCCAGCACAGCCCCCTGCCTGCAAGCTTGCAGACGGCGCAGCTGTAGGCCGTCTTCTTCCTCAGCCGAAGCACGTGCCCAGGCTTCTTGGTGTCCGCTGCCGTCACCTGGGGGAGAGGTGGGGAGGAGGGGGGACGGGGGAGAGGAGAGAATTTGTTTTTCTCAGCTGACACCGTGTCCTTTCTCTGTTGCAGCATGTACCCAGGCTTCTTGGTGTCCGCTGCCGTCACCTGGGGAGCGGGGGGGAGGGGGGGGGGTAAGGAGGAAAGGGGAGAGAGAGGAGAGGCGAGAGGGGAGAGACTGTTTTTGTAGCGCCTGAAACTCAGCTCCCTGGCTGCAAGCTTGCACAGCTGTAGGTTGCCTCCTCCTCAGCCGCAAAACGTGCCCCGGTTCTTGGTGCCCGCTGCCGTCACCTGGGAGGGACGAAGGGGAAGAGAGGGGAGAGGGGAGAGGGGAGAGGGCAGGGGGGAGAGAACGGGTTCTTCTTGTGTCTCGAAAACAGCCCTTTGCCTACGAGATTGCACGCCTGTAGGCTGCCTCCTAGCCGCAAGGCAACACGTGCCCAGGCTTCTTGGTGTCCTCTACTGTCCCCTGGGGCGGGTTGGAGGGGGAGGTGAGAGGGGAGAGGGGAGAGGAGAGGGGAGCAAGGATGAGAGGGAGGTGGATAATTGCATGGGACTGGTCCTCGCTCTTGACATGCCTCGCGAAACAGATTAAGGAAAAAAAACATCTAAGAAACAATCTCCTGCTGGGGGGGGAAGAAAGGCTATGGTTAAGCGAAGCATGTCTCTAGCAGGCAACTGGCACAGTTGCCCGAACAACGTCAGAAAGGTAAGAGCGTAATGCCTTCGACACACAGGAAGTCGGAAACACCAGACCTGGCAAGCAGCTTCTTCCGTACGAGCAGAGGTGCGTATTCAGCGGAGTCAAGAGTCAAGAGGCATAGCATGGCATGGCATGGCATGGCATGGCATACCTCGTAGACGGTTGTTTCGAACGCGCTCTGCTCCTTGAGCTTCCTCTCCATCGTCTCATTCACCATCGTGATATCATGCTGCCCCACCCACCACCCCATCCACCGCCCCATCCACCGCCCCATCCACCACCGCGTCACGAGGTGCCATGCCAACAGGAGAACAGCGATTGTACACAAACACAGCACATGGGGAGGGCAACAAGGTAGAGGAAATGAAAAGAAGTGATGGAAGAGCGAACCTAGCTGAAAGAATTCACGCTCACATAGGGGCACTGTCCCCTGCACTCTCACATAGGGGCACTGTCACTATGCTAAAGAAGTATCCCTCTCCCATGGCAGAGCGTGGAGAGGGGAGGGGGGAAAGACACGTGGCACGGGACGGGGACACAAAGGTGCCGGATTAACTGGAATCAAAATGAAAGGGAGAATGAAAGGGAGAATGAAAGGGAGAATGAAAGGGAGAATGAAAGGGAGAATGAAAGGGAGAATGAAAGGGAGAATGAAAGGGAGAATGAAAGGGAGAATGAAAGGGAGAATGAAAGGGAGAATGAAAGGGAGAATGAAAGGGAGAATGAAAGGGAGAATGAAAGGGAGAATGAAAGGGAGAAAGAAAGGGAGAATGAAAGGGAGAATGAAAGGAGAATGAAAGGGAGAATGAAAGGGAGAAAAAGAGAATGAAAAGAAGGAGAATGAAAGGGAGAATGAAAGGGAGAATGAAAGGAGAATGAAAGGGAGAATGAAAGGAGAATGAAAGGGAGAATGAAAGGGAGAATGAAAGGGAGAATGAAAGGGAGAATGAAAGGGAGAATGAAAGGGAGAATGAAAGGGAGAATGAAAGGGAGAATGAAAGGGAGAATGAAAGGGAGAATGAAAGGGAGAATGAAAGGGAGAATGAAAGGAGAATGAAAAGAAAAAAGAATGAAAGGAGAATGAAAGGAGAATGAAAGGGAGAATGAAAGGGAGAATGAAAGGGAGAATGAAAGGGAGAATGAAAGGGAGAATGAAAGGGAGAATGAAAGGGAGAATGAAAGGGAGAATGAAAGGGAGAATGAAAGGGAGAAGAAAGGGAAAAAAAGGGAGAATGAAAGGAGAATGAAAGGGAGAATGAAAGGGAGAATGAAAGGGAGAATGAAAGGGAGAATGAAAGGGAGAATGAAAGGGAGAATGAAAGAGAAGAAAGGGAGAATGAAAGGGAGAATGAAAGGGAGAATGAAAGGGAGAATGAAAGGGAGAATGAAAGGGAGAATGAAAGGGAGAATGAAAGGGAGAATGAAAGGGAGAATGAAAGGGAGAATGAAAGGGAGAATGAAAGGGAGAATGAAAGGGAGAATGAAAGGGAGAATGAAAGGGAGAATGAAAGGGAGAATGAAAGGGAGAATGAAAAGGAGAATGAAAAAGGGAGAATGAAAGGGAGAATGAAAGGAAGAGAATGAAAGGGAGAATGAAAAAGGGAGAATGAAAGGAGAAATGAAAGGGAGAATGAAAGGGAGAATGAAAGGGAGAATGAAAGGGAGAATGAAAGGGAGAAATGAAAGGGAGAATGAAAGGGGAGAATGAAAGGAGAATGAAAGGGAGAATGAAAGGGAGAATGAAAGGGGAGAATGAAAGGGAGAATGAAAGGGAGAATGAAAGGGAGAATGAAAGGGGAGAAGAAATGAAAGGGAGAAATGAAAGGGAGAATGAAAAGGGAGGAATGAAAGGGAGAATGAAAAAGGGAGAATGAAAGGGAGAATGAAAGGGAGAATGAAAGGGAGAATGAAAGGGGAGAATGAAAGGGAGAATGAAAGGGAGAATGAAAGGGAGAATGAAAGGGAGAATGAAAGGGAGAATGAAAGGGAGAATGAAAGGGAGAATGAAAGGGAGTCCACTGAGGGGACCAAAGTAGGAGGGGATGGGACGGAGCAAACGGAAGGGAGGAGGGGGGAAGTCGGGTGGCTCACCAGCTTGGATGCGAACTGTGCCACCTTTGCCTCCTCTGCCTTCAGCTGCTCACGGAACGGACGGGCGGGAAAGGAGAGGAGAGAATATAACAGAGTTGAGGGAAGGAAGGGCAGAAGCGTGATGAGGTCAGGGATCTGAAGGGATGGGGTTATCTTCTTACACGCACTAGCATACCACCTTGCCTCATGCAGGATAGCTGCACACTTGCACACACATGCAAACACATGCAGACACGTGCACACTCTCATGCATCCCATTCCCACACACACAAATCGCAGCTGCATGCCCCCATGCACACTCACACGCCACCCATCTCACCCCTCACCTTCTCCTCCTTGACCTTCAGGTCGTCCCTCAGCCTGTCCGCCTCCTCCCCCATCTTCCCCAGCCGCTCCACCTCCTCCTGCAGGTGCGCCACCTTTGCAGCCTGCTCCTTAACCGCCTGCTCCTCCTGCGCCCCGCCCTTGCTGCGCGCGTGGTTCAGCTGGGGGGTGGGGGACAGGGAGGGGGGGAAGAATGGGGTGGGGGTGTATTTTGGAGATGAGAGAGGCGGTGGTTTGGGGGAGTATTTCGAGTCGCACGTGGTGCAGCTTATTTTCGAGCGTGCATGCTCCTCCCCTCCACCGCTCCTCCCCCCCTCCCTCCCTCCCTTCCCCCCTCCCTCCCTCCCTCTCTCCCTCCCCCCCCATACCTCGGACAGCTGTCGCTCCAGCCGGGACATCTTCTGCTTGAGCGTGCTGGCCTGCATCTCTGTCTCGTTCCTCTCCTGCTCCACGGACGCGCGCCGCCTCTCGCACTCCACACGTCGCCGCTCCGCCTCCTGCCGCGCCTCCTCCTCCTCCTCCAGCTGCCGCTGCAGCCTCCGCAGCTCACCCATCGCTGCATCGCGCTGGGATAGAAGGGATCAGGGGGGGGGGAGGGGGGAAGGGGGGATGACAGGATGGAAGGGTGGTGGGACAGCTGCCTCCTCCTCCAGCTGCCGCTGCAGCGACAGCAGCTCGCCTGTTGCTGCGCCGCGCTGGGATAGAGGAGGGGGGGGGGAGGGAGGAGGGGGGAATGGGAGGGGATTCGAGTGGGGGCCGTGATGACAGGGTGGAAGGGTGGTGGGACAGCTGCCTCCTCCTCCTCCAGCTGCCACTACAGCAACCACAGCTCGCCCATTGCACTGCAAGGGGTGGAGGAGACGGGGTGGGAGGTGAGGGGGGTGGGGAGGGGGGGAGGTGAGGGCAGGGTGGAAGGTGGCGGGACAGGGTGGAAGGGTGGTGGGAGCAGCGGGGACAGCTGGGACAGCGGGGACGGGAGCTTAAGTTGGAATGGATAACGTGGACCCAGGCAAAGGGAGGAAGGACAGGTGAAGGGGATATAATGCAGAGATGAGAACGCCAGGTGCAGACCCCCCCAAGAAACACCTGATGCCGAGCCCCAAACCACACTCAGAGCCATCCCCAAACTGCACTGTACTGCATCCCGAGCCTAATCACCATACCTGATGCAGAGCATCGGCGAGTTGCTCCTGATGGTTGCGGTACATGTTGTTCTGAGGCAGAGCAGGAAGCGAGGGAGGGGCGTGGGGGGCAGCAATCGTGGAGGGAGACAGGCAGGGAGGGAGGCATGAGGAAAGAGAGGACGGAAGCCATGGGGAGAAGGGGGGGGGGGGGGGGGTGTGTGGGGAAATGAGGGAGAGAGGGGATGAGGGAGAAGCAGGGGGTAGAGGAGATGGGAAGAGCAGTATTGCCAGTGTGTGTGTAGAGCAGATGCATGTGCGTGCATGGGTGTGCTCACCAGCTCCTGCATGAGGTGCTCGTGCTCCGCCCTGCGCTGCCCCACCTCCTCCCTCATCGCCTGCAGGTCTGCCCGCATGGCCTCCACCTCCGCTGGGTCCGCCCCGCCCTGCCAAGCGGGAGGGAGAGCAGGGGGGACGGTGGGGAGGCAGTGGGGATGGGGGAAGAGAGGACGTGCAGGGCGTGAAGGGCGAGGGGCTGGGGGCAGGGGTTAGGGGGGAGGTTTGGGAAGTCCAGCAGGGCAGGGAAGGCAGGGCGGGTGGGGAGGGCGGAAGGGCAGGGGAGGCAGGGAGGGCGGGATGAGAGTGTATGCGAAGAAGAGAATGGTAAGTGGGGAGGGGAGGTGGGGCAGATGAGACAGAGGAGAGAGGGAAGCAAGGGGGTTGAGGATCTGGCAGGGCAGCATGTGTCAGCCCCCCTGGCCCCATCTCACCTGCGCCCTCTCCTGCTCCAGCTGCTCCACATACTGCCCCAGCGCACGTGCCAGCTTGGTAACCGTCTGAAGCTCCTCATCTCATCGCCCCTCTCCCCACCCCACCCCGCTCCTCACCTCACCACTCATCTCACCACTCCCCATCTCACCTGCGCCCTCTCCTGCTCCAGCTGCTCCACATACTGCCCCAGCGCACGTGCTGACTTGGTAACCTTCTGAAGCTCCTCACCTCGCCGTTGCTCCACTCATTTCACCACCCCTCTCCCCTCCCCCCTGGCCCCATCTCACCTGCGCCCTCTCCTCCTCCAGCTGCTCCACGTAATGCCCCAGTGCACGAGCCTCCTCCTCCACCTGCCCACACGTGGGGCCGGAGAGAGAGAGGTGGGGGGGGAGAGGAAGGAAAGCAGGGCAAAGGTGCACGGCAAGAGCAGGCAGAAAGGATGGGGCAAGAGGACGACACTGGAAAAATATATACAACAAAAAGGTGGCCGGGAGTGCATCTGTATAATCTGACGGTGTTTAGAGTCTATTTTTGAGGCGCCTCAAAAATAGACGCCTAAAAAAATTTGAGGCGCCTCAAAGATGGTGTTATGAGCCCCCTTGCTAAACATACCAACCAAGGTCCAAGGGGAAGGAAGTTGGGGAAAGTGAGAAATAGGGAGGGCCAAGGGGAGGGATGGATAGGCACGAGGAAGGGCGATTCCTTAACAGAGCTAGACTGTAAGCGTCCAACTGCCATACATTATCACAGCCACTCCCCTACCCTACCCCATTTTACCTGCCTTGCACACCTGCACTCCTCCCCCCGGGGTTCATCTCCTGCTCACCAGCCAGCCCCCCTGATAAGACCCCCCGATTAGTCCCCCCGATCACCCCCCCGATCAGCCCCCCCGATTAGCCCCCCCAAATCAGCCCCCCCGATTAGCCCCCCCCGATTAGCCCACCCAATTATCCCCCCCCAATTGGCCCCCCCAATGAGCCCCCCCCGATAAGCCCCCCCGAGTAGACCCCCCCCCAATGAGCCCCCCCAGGGAGCCCCCCCAATTCCCTTCAGCAGCCGCCCTTTCTCACCTCCTCCAGGCGCTCTTTCAGTGGGCCTGTCTCTGAGCGCTTCAGCTCCTCCTGAGAGCAATTGCGGCAGAGAGAGTGTTGGATGACAGCCACGGGGGCAAAGGGGCATCAAGGCACGTGCAGCAGAGACATGCAGCCCCAGAGCACAGCTTTGAGGCTTGGGAAAGTAGGACGGACGAGAAGAGGGAGCGGGTTGGGACGGACGCGAAGAGGGACGTAAAGTCGAGATGAAGGGGAGGGAGAGGAAAGGGGGGGAGAGGAGGGAGAGAGGGAAGGGGGGGGAGGGAAGGGGGATTGGGAAGAATGAAAGGGAGAAAGTGAAGTTGAACGAGTGGGTTGAAGAGAGTTAAGGGAGGAGGGTTGGAGTGGCAGGCAGTGGACGGACCTCGAGATCTCGCATCCTCTTCTTCTGCTCAATGACCTGACCGCGCATAATGCTGGCCTGAGGTGCTCTCACGCACAGGGGCGACAAACGGTGGGGAGGGGGAGGGGGGGGTGGGGGTGGGGAGATGTGTTGGAGAGGGGGGATGTGAGGAGTGAAGGGACGCGTAGAGGATGCGACAGTTAAGTAGAGGCTTGTAATGCAAAAAGTTCACAGCACACTCTCAGTCTATCTCACTCAAAGTCTCCACCCCCCTTTGCCCACCCTCCCTTCCACTTACTCCAAAGCATCCCACAGCTGCTCCCCAGGTGGCTGTAGAGTCGACTCAGGGGCCACCACAAGCCCCCTGTTGAGTCGATCAAGCCCCCCCTCCTTTGCCCACCACCCGGCCCCCACACCCCCTGTCCTCCACCCCCGTTGCCCGTTGCTTACGAAGTTCTTGGCCTTGTCGAGCTGCTCCAGAGCGTCCCACAGCTGCTCCCTTAGCTCCTCCGACGATGCACTCGCTATCTGCTCGCCACACATGCATGCATGTGCACACACCCATGCACACCCATGCACACCCATGCACACCCATGCACACCCATGCACACACCCACCCACACACATGCACACCCATCCATACACATGCACACCCATGCACACCCATGCACACCCATGCACACACACCCATACGCATGCACACCCATGCACACATGCACACCCATCCACACACATGCACACCCATCCATACACATGCACACCCATACACACCCATGCACACCCATCCCAGTCACAGACATCAATAGGAGGAGAAGCGGCTGTACCCGGACCCGTGGAAGCACTTGCATCTACAAACCCCAACGCCTTTTAGGCCACCAACCAACACAGCCAGCCCCCCCCCCCCATCAAACACAGCCCCCTACATTTCCCCAGACAAGCCGGCTACCCCACCCCCCTCCACATTCCCCTTCCCCCCCTCCCCATCCCCACTCACAGCCTCGAGCTCCTCCTCTTCCTGCCCGTCGGCCCGTGCCGTGCCCTCCTCCCGGCTGCGCACGCTCATCGCCTCCATCTCCCGCCGCAGCTCCTCCACCTCGCGGCTCATTGCCTCTCGCAATGCCGCCGCCGCCGCTGCTGCTTCTGCTGCCGCGCTCCTCTCCGCCTCTAGCAGCTCCTGTGTGTGCGCCTGGAGGGAGGGGGGGGTGAGGGAGCGAAGGGAGGGTTGAGAGTGTTTGGGGCCTCTCAAATCGCAGCTCCTCCACCTCCCGACTCATTGCCTCTTGCAATGCTGCCGCCTCCGCTGCTGCTTCTACTGCTGCTTCTGCTGTCGCGCTCCTCTCAGCCTCTAGCAGCTCCTGTGTGTACACCTGGGAGAAAGGGTGGGGGCCGGGGAGACGGACGGGATGGTTAAGAGCTTAGGCGGCCTCTACCTCCAGGCCCATTGCCTCTCGCACTGCCGCCTCCGCTGCTGCTTCCGCTGCTGCTTCTGCCACCGCCTCCGCTGCTGCTTCCATCTGCTGCAGCGTGTGCGCCTGGGGGGAGGGAGATTGGGAAGAGGTTTTGAGGCAGCTTGCCACACTGCGCCTCGATTTCACGGCTCGTTGCTTCGCATGGATCTATGGCGCACTCAGCTCACACAAGCCCTTTGGGTTCGCCTGGCATCAGCAACAGCAACGTCCATCATGACCATGTGCATGTGCACATGCATGTACCCATACCCATACCCCTGCACGCCCCTCACCAGCTCCTGCTCCAGCTTCTGAACAGTCTCATTGCTGCCCTCCCCTGCCACCGCTGCTGCCACCGTCACACCTGCACCCTCCCCTGTTGCCTCCTGCACGCACACCACACAACACGGACGTGGGGGTGTTCGGGATAAATGGACTTTTTCCTGAGGCGCCAGAACCACACCGCACAGCATGGACGCGGAGGGGTTGGAGATGGATGGATGGATGTGAGGCGAGGAGCAGGTGGAGCCCGAGAAAGGTTGGCGTTGTAGGGAGTGCAGGGGGGGCTCAAACAGTGCAAGGGACACAAAGTGTGACACAAGTTGGGTTTGCGTGTGGGTGCCAATGGCGCCAGAGAAGGACTAGGTCCGTAGGATGGGGTTCTTCCCCACTCCCCCACTCCCACCTGGAGCTTCTTCTCGAGGCTCTCCTTCTCCCGCAGCAGCCTCTCCTTCTGGAAGCGCAGTGCTGCCACCTGCACACACACACACACACACACGCACACGCACGCACACACACGCACAAACACACACACACGCACGCATGAGCGCGCGCGCACACACACACACACACACACACACGCACACACACACACACGCGCGCACGCACGCACACGCACACACACACACAAACGCACAAACACACACACACAAACAAACACGCACGCACAGACCCACGCATGCACAGACCCACGCACGCACACACACACACACACACGCGCGCGGGCACACACACACACACACACACACACACACACACACACGCGCGCGCGCGCGCACACGCGCGCACGCGCACGCACACACACACACATGCACACCGTGCACACAGACAGAGACAGACAGATGCAAGGAAGGATGGGCGGATGGGTGGGCAGGCAAACAGACAGACAGATAGACAGATAGACATATAGACAAATAGACAGACAGACAGAAAGACAGGTAGACAGATAGACAGACAGACAGATAGACAGACAGACAGATAGACAGATAGACAGACACACAGATACACAGATAGACAGATATACATATAGACAGATAGACAGATAGACAAATAAACAGACAGACAGACAGACAGATAGGCAGATAGACAGACAGACAGATAGACAGATAGACAGACACACAGATAGACAGATAGACAGATATACATATAGACAGAGAGACAGATAGACAAATAAACAGACAGACAGACAGGCAGATAGACAGATAGGCAGATAGACAGATAGACAGACAGACAGACAGACAGACAGGCAGACAGACAGACAGGCAGACAGACAGACAGACAGACAGACAGACAGTCAGGCAGACAGACAGACAGACAGACAGACAGACAAAGAAAAAGAAGAGATCACTCCACTCACCGCCTAATCCCACCCACCTGCCCCATAGCACGCACCACCTGAGCAGCAGATTTTAAAGAGCTGCTGCTGTTGCTGTTGGTCCCTGCCTAGCTACCTGTCTTCCACTCCAGTACTCACTCCCTTGAGCCTTGAGCCTCCTCGACTCCGCTCACTCCTCCCCCCCGCCACCCCTCACTCCCTCACTCCCTCTACCCCTCACTCCCTCTACCCCTCACTCCCTCTACCCCTCACTCCCTCTACCCCTCATTACCATTACCCGTAACCCCCTCACTACCATTACCCCTCACTCCCTCTACCCCTCACCCCCTCAACCCCCCCTTCCCTCCACACCTATCCAGCGCAGCACCTGAGCGAGGCCCTTGAAGGAGCTCTTGCTGCTGGACCCCGCGCGCGCCACCTCGGTCTTGAGCTCCAGTGCCTCCGCCTTGAGCTTGCGGGCCTCTGCCACCGCTGCCCGGCACCTCTCCCCCAGCCCCTTCTCCCGCGCCTGCGCCGCCGCCATGGCAGACTCCTAAGAAGGGGAAAGAGAAGGGGGGGGGGGGGAGGGAAGGGAGAGTGGTTGGGAGATGCCGAATTCAAAACGCAGCACCGCTCCTCCAGCCCCTTCTCCCGCGCCTGCACCGCCGCCATGGCAGGATTCCTGGGTGAGGGGGTGGGGGGACGAAAGAGGGAGTGGGGTGGGATGTTTTGATGCGCCCCAAAACTCAGGACGCTGCTCCTCCAACTCCTAAAATGCGTGTGAGTTTCGTGCATGCAAGCGCACTTCCAACTGGTTAGCCGACAAGTTTTGTCAACCAAAACCCCATCGCAGTGGACCTCAAATCCCTCCCCTTCTCCCCCTACCTCTCCCCCCCCAACCCCACCCTTCAACTCCCCCTCTCCCTCCCCCACTTCCCTCCCCCCCACCCACCACCGCTCTCTGAGCTCGCCTCCCATCTCGCCAGCCCATCTTGCAACGTTGCCCATCTCACATCGCCCCATAACCCAGATGACCTTCGTGTCGACTCACAAGTCATTCACCGCCACCCTCCCACTCACCGCCACCCTCCCACTCAACTCCACCCTCCCACTCAACTCCACCCTCCCACTCACCGCCACCCTCCCACTCACCGCCACCCTCCCACTCACCGCCACCCTCCCACTCACCGCCACCCTCCCACTCAACTCCACCCTCCCACTCAACTCCACCCTCCCACTCAACTCCACCCTCCCACTCAACTCCACCCTCCCAATCAACTCCACCTTCCCACTCAACTCCACCCTCCCACTCAACTCCACCCTCCCACTCAACTCCACCCTCCCACTCACCGCCACCCTCCCACTCACCGCCACCCTCCCACTCACCGCCACCCTCCCACTCACCGCCACCTTCCCACTCAACTCCACCCTCCCACTCACCGCCACCCTCCCAATCAACTCCACCCTCCCACTCACTGCCACCCTCCCACTCACCGCCACCCTCCCACTCAACTCCACCCTCCCACTCAACTCCACCCTCTCACTCAACTCCACCCTCCCACTCAACTCCACCCTCCCAATCAACTCCACCTTCCCACTCAACTCCACCCTCCCACTCAACTCCACCCTCCCACTCAACTCCACCCTCCCACTCACCGCCACCCTCCCACTCACCGCCACCCTCCCACTCACCGCCACCCTCCCACTCACCGCCACCCTCCCACTCAACGCCACCCTCCCACTCAATTCCACCCTCCCACTCACCGCCACCCTCCCACTCACCGCCACCCTCCCACTCACCGCCACCCTCCCACTCAATTCCACCCTCCCACTCACCGCCACCTCCCACTCACCGCCACCCTCCCACTCAACTCCACCCTCCCACTCACCGCCACCCTCCCACTCACCGCCACCCTCCCACTCACCGCCACCCTCCCACTCACCGCCACCCTCCCACTCACCGCCACCTTCCCACTCAACTCCACCCTCCCACTCACCGCCACCCTCCCAATCAACTCCACCCTCCCACTCACTGCCACCCTCCCACTCACCGCCACCCTCCCACTCACCGCCACCCTCCCACTCACCGCCACCTTCCCACTTAACTCCACCCTCCCACTCAACTCCACCCTCCCACTCAACTCCACCCTCCCACTCAACTCTACCCTCCCAATCAACTCCACCTTCCCACTCAACTCCACCCTCCCACTCAACTCCACCCTCCCACTCAACTCCACCCTCCCACTCACCGCCACCCTCCCACTCACCGCCACCCTCCCACTCACCGCCACCCTCCCACTCACCGCCACCCTCCCACTCACCGCCACCCTCCCACTCACCGCCACCCTCCCACTCACCGCCACCCTCCCACTCACCGCCACCTTCCCACTCAACTCCACCCTCCCACTCACCGCCACCCTCCCAATCAACTCCACCCTCCCACTCACTGCCACCCTCCCACTCACCGCCACCCTCCCACTCAACTCCACCCTCCCACTCAACTCCACCCTCCCACTCAACTCCACCCTCTCACTCAACTCCACCCTCCCACTCACCACCACCCTCCCACTCACCGCCACCTTCCCACTCAACTCCACCCTCCCACTCAACTCCACCCTCCCACTCACTGCCACCCTCCCACTCAACTCCACCCTCCCACTCAACTCCACCCTCCCACTCAACTCCACCCTCCCACTCACTGCCTTTGCGAGGCGGCGCCTGAGGTCGCCCTCCATCTCGACCTTCTTGCGCGCCACCTTGCCCATCTCCTCCTGTAGCTCCGCCAGCTCCGCCTCTAGCGCCGCACGCTTCTCCTCCGTGCGCTCCTGCAGCGCCACCACCGCCTCCTCACGCTCCACCATGCCCCGCATCTCGTGCTCCATGGACGCCTGGTGAGGAGGGGAGGGGGGAAGGGGGGAATGGGGGCAGGAGTTAAGGGGAGGAGGAAGTGTGCTTTTGAAGACGTCTTAAGTCCCAAGAGCCGTCTCCTGCAGTGCCACTACCGCCTCTTAGCACTCGACCGCACCGCGCAGCTGCAGCTCCATGGACGCCTGGTGATGGTGCACACGAGGTGACTTTTGAGTCGACTCAAAAGCAGGTGGAAAGTAACAGGGTGGAAGGGGAAGTGGGGGAGAATGCCTCAAGAGCCATCTCCTGCAAAACCACCACCACCACCACCGCCACCTCGCGCTCTACTACTGCTCGTAAACTGCCCGTAGCTCATCCATCACGGTTTATTATGTGTCATTGGACACGTAAGCACAGGGGCCAGGCCAGCAGCACCCACCAGCTTGACTTTTGAGTCGACTCAAAGTGAATGGATGATCCAGCTCATCCCTCACCGTTCATTATGCGCCGTTACTCAAGTACGCGCCCGGGCTAGCAGCGCGCTGCGCTCACCAGCTTGGCATTTGAGTCGACTCAAAACCGAGTGATGCACCTCATCCCTCACCGCTCATAATGTGCACTTACTCAAGTGAGCACCCAAGCTAGCAGCACAGCGCTCACCATCTTGGCAGAGAGATCCTTGATCTCCTTGTCCCTCTCCAGCACGTCCGTTGCTGCCTGCACGCGTGCACGGGGCGGCAGGGGGATGAGATGGCAAGGAGATGGGATGGAACGGTGCCTTAGCTGACCCAGGCTCGGACATGCATGGGCAAATGGCACAGGCACGGTAGCAGCAGCGACTTGATAGCAAGAGCCACCTGATAGAGTCACCTAATAGCAGCAGTCACCTAATAGCAGCAGTCACCTAATAGCAGCAGTCACCTTATAGCAGCAGTCACCTTATAGCAGCAGTCACCTTATAGAAGCAGTCACCTTATAGCGGCAGTCACCTTATAGCAGCACCAGTGTGCCTTTCATACTCTTAAAATGAAGCCTCTTCAAGCCTTACACCATTGTATATCACTCACCTGCTGCATGTTCCACGCTTCGTCCAGCTCTGTGCGCAGCACCTCTATGCGGTCATCCACACCCCCCACCCACCCCGCCTCCCTCCTGTGCTCTTCAAACCTTTACACGCCTTGCAACATTGTATAGCACTCACCTGGCAACAGCACTGACCTCGTGTTCTTCAAACCTCGACATGCCTTACAACTTATAGCACTCAACTGGTAGCAGCACTGACCTGCTGTGCGTTCCACTCCGCCTCTGCCAGGTGAGTGCGCAGCTCCTCTATGCGGTCATCCACGCCCCCCGCCCCCCCACCTCTCTCCACCGCCTCATAGTCCGCCTGTAGAGCGAAAGACACACAGAGCAGAGAGAGAGACACACACGGAGCAGAGAGAGAGAGACACACGGAGCAGAGAGAGACACACACACGGAGCAGAGCCTTTCAGGGCAAAGCTACAGTTGCTGCGCTAGATAAGGTGGGTTGGGAGTCAAGTTTTGAGGCGCCTCAAAACTAAGGTGGGTTGGGAGTCAGGAACGAGAGGAGGGCAAGGAGAGCGCAAACGAGGAGTGCTGGTTGGCCCTGATCGTAAAACGAGTACAGTAGCATCGACCTGGCCGTAGAAAGGGGGTAGAGAGAGGAAGAAGCAGTCCAACCACACCCCAACACACACCACAGCCCACACCGCAGCCCAACCACACCCCAATCCACACTGCAGCCCAGAGACCCAGGGCCACACCACAAAGGACCAAACCGGCAGTGTGTCTCACGACCACTAAAACCCCCCCCTCTCCCTCCCCCCCCACCACCCACCCACCCACCACGCGAGACTTGAGGTGCTTGTTCTGGTGCTGCTCCTGCCCCAGCTGCCACTTCAATTCCTCCACCTCGTGAATGAGCTGCGTGAGGGGTGCGACCGGAGGGATGCGGAGGGATGGAGAGGGATGGGGAGGGACGGGGTGGGATGGGGTGGGATGGGGGGGGGTGCAGAGGGAGAGGGGGGGATGGGAAGGGAGGGGGAAAGGGGGGGGGAGGGAGTGGGGAGATGGGGATGGGAGAGACGGGGAGGGGGAGATGTGGAGAGGGGAGGGAGAAGATGAGAGGAGGGAAGACGGGGCGCCGGGGGAATTGCATTGGGAGAAGGGGAAGGGAGAGGAAGGACAGGGATAAGCAGAAATGAGTAAGGAGGGTTGGACGGACAGGACGAAAAAGGGAGGGCGAGAAAGTAGGGGAGGGGTTGGTGGCACGGGTAATCGATGGCGTAGCTACCCGTATACAGTGTGTGCGATCAGTTGTCATGGAAGAGTAGCAGCAGCGTAGGAAGGTTGCGTGAGATCCTCCGCTGCTGCTTCTCTTCCGTGACAACCGATGCCTGGTAATCGATGGCGTAGCCACCCGTATACAGTGTGTGAGTGGTTGTGAGTGCGAGGGGAAGGATAAAAAGGAGGCAGGGAGAGATTGGGCGTGCAGCAAGAGGGATAGGAGGAGGGAGCGAGGGGGTAGCGAGGGCGAGAGCGATGGGGGGAGGGGCAGAGAGGGAGCAGAGAGGGAGCAGAGAGGGAGCAGAGAGGGAGCAGAGAGGGAGCAGAGAGGGAGCAGAGAGGGAGCAGAGAGGGAGCAGAGAGGGAGCAGAGAGGGAGCAGAGAGGGAGCAGAGAGGGAGCAGAGAGGGAGCAGAGAGGGAGCAGAGAGGGAGCAGAGAGGGAGCAGAGAGGGAGCAGAGAGGGAGCAGAGAGGGAGCAGAGAGGGAGCAGAGAGGGAGCAGAGAGGGAGCAGAGAGGGAGCAGAGAGAGAGCAGAGAGGGAGCAGAGAGGGAGCAGAGCAGAGAGGGAGCAGAGAGGGAGCAGAGAGGGAGCAGAGAGGGAGCAGAGAGGGAGCAGAGAGGGAGCAGTGAGGGGGGTAGGGAGGGCAGCTGGTGCTTACAGCAGCAGCCTGCTTCTTGCTGTCTGTGAGGGCTTCGCCCAGCTCAGCTATGAAGGCGTCCCGGCGCTTGAGATGAGGCTCGCTCTGACCAGATGGGGATGACATGGGGCACGGGGAGACATGGGGCACGGGGAGACATGGGGCACGGGGAGACATGGGGCACGGGGAGAGATGGGGCACGGGGAGACATGGGGCACGGGGAGAGATGGGGCACGGGGAGAGATGGGGCACGGGGAGAGATGGGGCACGGGGAGACATGGGGCACGGGGAGAGATGGGGCACGGGGAGACATGGGGCACGGGGAGAGATGGGGCACGGGGAGACATGGGGCACGGGGAGAGATGGGGCACGGGGAGACATGGGGCACGGGGAGAGTTGGGGCACGGGGAGAGATGGGGCACGGGGAGAGATGGGGCACGGGGAGAGATGGGGCACGGGGAGACATGGGGCACGGGGAGAGATGGGGCACGGGGAGACATGGGGCACGGGGAGAGATGGGGCACGGGGAGACATGGGGCACGGGGAGAGATGGGGCACGGGGAGACATGGGGCACGGGGAGAGATGGGGCACGGGGAGAGATGGGGCACGGGGAGAGATGGGGCACGGGGAGAGATGGGGCACGGGCAGAGATGGGGCACGGGGAGAGATGGGGCACGGGGAGAGATGGGGCACGGGGAGAGATGGGGCACGGGCAGAGATGGGGCATGGGGAGAGATGGGGCACGGGCAGAGATGGGGCACGGGGAGAGATGGGGCACGGGGAGAGATGGGGCACGGGGAGAGATGGGCATGGGACGAGATGGGCACGGGGAGGAGAGGAAACAGAGAGCATGAGGGAGGGAGGTGAAGAGGCAGAGCAGCGACCGGGGGGAGGACAGACGGGGAAACAATCACTGGCTTGGCCCTTATCACTGGCCTGGCTTGGCCAAGGGATGATTCAAGTTGTGCTGTAACCTTTAAGGGCCATATGTTCTGTGCCATCACCGATATGCAAGGGACACCCGGAAGCTGAGCTGGAGATTCGGAAATCGGAGAGATGAAGAATCGTGGTGGCAAGTTAGTCGCATGAGGCCCGGTGCGGTGCGGTATGGTGTGGTGCGGTGCAGAGAGACGGGAAGTTTGTGAGGCGGGCGCAGCGCAGGGAAACACGGATTTAAAAGGAGGGGTGTGGCAATTCACGGGCAATTCAGAGGCAACACAAGGAAGACAACACAAGAAGGCAACACGGGAAAGACAAGGAGGACGATCACAGCATGGGGGGGAACACGTGCACATGCACCCCCCCATCCCCCATCCCCTCCGTCCACCACCCCCCCCCCAAACACACACACACACACACACACACACACACACACACATACATACACATACCCACTTACTCACCCACCCACATGCACGCAGCAGCAGCATCGGTGAGGTCATCGCACACGGTGTTGAGCGCAATGCCGCTGCTGCCAAGCACTGCAGCTCAAAAGGGACGCACGGGCGCTAGAGATGCGCACACATACACCCACCCATCCACCCACCCACCCACCCACCCACTCACCCACACACACACACACACACCCACACATACCATGCCGAGCGCAGCAGCAGTGGCGTCAGTGAGGTCATCGCCCACGGAGTTGAGCGCAAGGTTGCTGGTAGTGCCCACGCGCGCACTGCTGCTCAGAGACGACGCACTGCCGCCGCTCACACTGGAGGAGGTGACGCTGGCCGTGCGGGCAAGAGACGCAGAGGAGAAGATGCTTGTGGACGTGGGGAAAGCGCCCTCGGGGTCTAGGAACAGCACTGGCACCCGCAGCTTCGCCACCCCGGTCAGGGGCAAGGCGTCCTGTGAGGTGTGTGGGGGGGGGGAGAGAATGGGTGGGTGTGTGAGAGGGCGGGCGTGATGGAAGGGAGCCGGAGGAGAAGACGCTTGGGGATGCGGGGAAAGCGCCCCCGGGGTCCTGGAAGAGGACTGGCACGCGCAGCTTCGCCACCCCGGCGAGGGGTCTGGTGGGGGGGGAGCGGAGGAACGAGGGGAAGGAAAGGAAGGGGATGTGGGTGGGTGTGTAAGAGAGGAGGAGAAGACGTTAGGACACGTGGGGAAGGCGCCCCAGGGGTCCTGGAACAGCACTGGCACACGCAGCTCAGCCAACCATGTTAGGGTACGGCGTGCTGGTTGGTGCGGGGGGGAGGTGTGTGAGGGTGAGGGGAGGGATGAATGTTGGGCATGGTGGGTGGTGTGAGCGGATGGTGTATCGGGCGTCACACATGGTGGCACGATGCATGGTGCGGCCATGCACAGTACTGGCAGCAGCAGCAGCAGCAGCAGCAGCAGCAGCAGCAGCAGCAGCAGCAGCAGCAGCAGGAGGAGGAGGAGGAGGAGCAGCTGGAGCAGCAGCAGCAGCAGGAGGAGGCGTTACATTGTGCAGGGAGAGCGGCGAGGTGGCATTGGCGGAGTGGTAGCACTCCACATTGATGTTGTCGTTCCAATACGGCCGTGCGCTCAGAGGCTCACACGTCACTGCATGGCAGGGAGGGGGGCGGGAGGAAGGGAGGACGAGGGGACGAAGGTGAGCGATTGTTGAGCGGGGAGAAGCACAGGAACGGAGCTGAGTCTTGTCAACGAGCAGTGAGGTCAAATGCTTAACCAGGAAAAGACGTGAATCCGGCCGATTGAGCTGACTTGGGCGTTCTAACCAGAATCCAGTCCTCTTCAGCTTTCTCCCTGATCTTCCATTTTTCCCCTCCCAAATTCCCTTCGCCCTCCCTCTCCCCATCTCCTCGTCCCTGTCCATTTCACCTCTGATGTCTGTGATTGAGTAGGGCGGCAGCAGCACCTTCGGGCCTGATGAAAACTTGTAGCGCCGGGGGTTGCTGGGGAGGAGCTGGCGGAGAGGCGGGAGAGGGGGAGGGGGGGAGAGGGGGGAGAGAGTTGGGAGTGAGGGGGTAGAGAAGGGGGAGAGAGGGGGGAGAGAGGGAAGAGAGGGGGGAGGAGGTGGGGGGGGGGAGGGGGGGGGAGGGAGTGTGTGCATGCATGCAGGGAGATGCTACGCTATTGAGTGTAATCAAACGTTACGCTGTGCACGCGGGGAGCGCAGCAGAGCACGAGGGGAGTGCAACAGAGCACGCGGGGAGCGCAGCAGAGCACGCGGGGAGTGCTACAGAGCACGCGGGGAGCGCAGCAGAGCACGCGGGGAGCGCAGCAGAGCACGCGGGGATTGCAACAGACGGCAAGGAGCGCACGAATAGGAACAAGAGGCCGGCTGCCCGCGCTGCGGAAAAGGGACACGGGGAATGGACGCACCATCCAGCCCTGGCTCAGTGCACGAAGCGAGGAGAGCGAGGGGGGGAGGGATAGGGAGGGGGGGGGGGGGGGGAGGGAGGGGGGGCGAGGGGGGCGAGGGAGCGGGAGGGTGCGCGAGAGGGCGAGAGGGGGGAAAGTTGCATACGTTTGAGCCGAGCGGCATTTGGTATTTACTACTGGTTTTTTAAGGGGAGCGGAGCGCACCTTAGCGAGAACGGTCTGCGAGGTGACGTTGGCGATGTGCAGGTCGCACTCCAGACTCCTGCCCGGCTCGACTGCTCGCCCGCGCACCACAGGGACGCGGGCAGGGGCGGAACAACGCCGGGAGGAAGGAGAACGAGGAGGGGGAGGAGAAGGGGGGCGGGGAGAGGGGGGAGAGTAGGGGAGGAGATTGGAGGTTGCGCGGAGGGAGAAAAGGGAAATGGGTGAGGGGTTGGGCACGGCGTTTGAATCAGATCAGATACGAACGCGAGTGGTGCGAGGGCACGGCAAAAAGAGGGAACGGGACGAGCGGACAGGAGAGACGAGAGGAGAGGAACGCAAAGTGGGGAAGAGACGATGAATGCGGAGCGGCGAATGCGGAGCGGCGAATGCGGAGCGACGAATGCGGGGAGGTGAATGCGGATCACGCGCGTACACTGCAGGCGGAGCTCGTCCGGCTCCACGCGGACGGTTTCGAAGAGCATCGCGACGACCGGGAAGGCCGGGACGGCAGGGACGGCCGGGAAGGCCCGGACGGCAGGGACGGCCGGTGATGACGAAAAGAGAGGGACTTAGCGGATCGCTGCAATGGGATTTGTGTGATTTAATAAGAGCATCCGATGCTTGAATCGCCGGTAGGCTAAGCAGGATTTAGGGTGAGAAATCTGCCAGGCTAACAAAGGCTAATAACTAACGGAAAATAGTCCTGCTCTGTTCGGACAAATAAGAGAGGCGTTAGGTAGCACGAAAGAAGAGAGGCGAGTCTGCATAGCTGGCATCATCCGAGCATCAACGCTAGTTCGCTGATGGTGATGACTGGGCTAAGGCATGAATAATTGTAAACAGTGACATCCGCGTGAGTCATCAGGTCTCTGGGAGTCCCGGCTGGTCTGTGCGTGTGAGCGAGGCGGGAAACATAGCATGCCCAGCCCACGACACAAGGCAACACAACACACACAGCCGCTGAGCCAGCGCAGCGCACACAACACAGCAGAGCAGAGCAGGAGCTCCAGTAATAATTAGGGCGTGTGGCAAGTAGATGCAAAACGAAGGGAACGACAGGAAGGGAGCGGAGGAGGTGGATACCCGTAGCAAGTGGTCTTTCGTCAGGGTTTCGCGAGAAGTGTCCGTGTGACAAGTGTCGACGTCTAAAATCGACGATGGGAGCGGAGCAGAGTTTCTGGGCAACTGGCCAACCGAAAGGGCAGATAGAAAATATGCAACAGGCTGTCACATGCGAATTGGCGAAGTCACGTGCGACAATCAAGCAAAGTCACGGGGGTAGTTTTGGAGAAATAGTTCAGGTTCGCGATCTTTGCGAATCCCGCAAGTTTGCAGGCTGCAATTTTCCAGAGTCGAATCGTGCGTGAGTAGGGTTAATTTCGGTTTCGGTTTGGGCTGGGTTTCTGCCCTTCTATATCACTTCACTCAACTCTTTGGCCCTGGTTACTAGATCCCAGAGACGGAGCAGACCAAAACCGCCCATCACCAAGCCTTCCTTCCCATTCGCCTAGGTGGTTTCGGTCGTCGTCCTTCCGCCCTCATCGCTCCCCTCAGTTACCTTTGCGGCTGGGCTCAGTCACTACCACTATTATCATCTCACTTCATCACTTATGGTCTGCCACTTTTCAGCCCCTTCCTCTACTCCGACACTATTCATCATCTTGATAAATTCATCCCCTCCACCATGTCAATGCTTCCCCAAGAGATCCGCGATCGTTTCCCCTCTTGTCTCACCTTCAGTCGGACTATCCTCCTAAGCTCTTCACTCACCTATCTCATCAGCTAGATGCCACCCAGCTTGAGAAGGTGCGCGCTACGGCTTCTTCCCCGTTCCGCTTGGCTCGATTAACCTCTCTTCAGGCCTTGCATGCAGGGGACTGGCTTATGGTGGCACCCTCCTCATCGAATATGCAACTGTTAGAATCCGAGTAGCGCATTGCTGTTGCAGTCCGTCTCGGTCTCCCCATCCCTCACCTCACCACTGTGGCAACCTGCACGTGCGGCTCTCCATTCTTTGACCCTTCTATCCATTCCCATCCTCTCCGTTGCCCAAAAAACAATGAGCCGACTAAGGTACACGATGTCATCAAATATGAGGTACATCGTATCACTCTGGAGCTCGACTTCGTTGCGCAGCTGGAGGACCAGCATCTCCTTCCGAGGCGGCGCACTAATGTCAGTTGCCGAGACGTTCAATCGGGTACAACCTTGGCTTTCGATATCTCCGTGGCTGACCCCGAACAGGGGTTCCCTCACTCCAATGCCGACAGGTCATTGGTTCGGCCGCTGCTACACGCGAATGTGAGAAGACCACCCTCTATGCCCCGCCGCTGTGTGCCCGTCCTGATGTCAAACTTCTTCCCCTTGTCGTCGAGACTTTTGGGTTCTTTGAGAAGTCCTTCCAAGACTTTCTCAAAGACAGCAGCCGTCGTGGTGCTTCTCGTCTGCGCGATTTTAGCGGGTCGTTTGATCTTCTGCTCCTCATATTTGAAACCAATTTCTACAAGCGCATTTCTCTCGTCCATCAGCGTAAGCAGGCCCGCGTGCACAGGTTCATTTCTCTGACGGCACCAGCGCCGCCCCACCCTAAGTTGCCCCTCCATAGGTAGCTGATTTTTCATATTTGGGAAATGACTTCTGATTTGGTTGTGGGGTCATATTTTAGTACTTCACTGCTTGGTGGCGACTAGTCCAAGAACCTCTTGTAACTCTTGTACAAATATACAATGCCAATGAAGTGGCAAGTGTGCTGGTGCATCCCAAAATGAACGGAGTTTCCTTCCTGAAGTTCGGAGCAAACAACGGGAGGATAGGACCGGAACGGAGCGGAGTGGAGCGGAACTCTACTTGCCATACGCCCTTAGGGTGTGGTACAGTACATACAGTCTCCAACTCCCAATCTCGAGGTCGCCAATTGGTTGGCGGATGGCGAAACTTTCAACAAAACGACCTCCGAAGAAGAACGAAGTTGGTCATTGGTCTTAAACTCGGACGGGACGCAGTCTTGAGAGTGAAGGTAACAGTCGGCAGCTGACATATACAGCATGCAACATCAGGAGATGCTGATCTGTACGGTTGCGATTGTGTCTCAGGGACAACGGACAGCAGCGGAGCAAGCACCACGCGGCACGGCAGAGCCCACAAACAACGCGGGGAGATCGTGCGCTTTGACAAAAATCAAAAATGTTTTAAAATGGTCGACCCTTTTTGCACGCGATGTATGGCATGCCTCTGTTACCCAAAACGGTCGACCCTTCCCAACTGTACCCATTTTCGTGTTGGGTTCAAATGCCACTACGTTTTTCCAGGGCAACATGTGTAGGGTCGACAAACAATGACAACACATTAAGGGCTGCGGCATTCAAAAAAGACACGCGCAATCATTTTGGGCACAATGTCTGGATTTCGACAAAATAGCGGGTGAGGTTTTCGCTGAACCTGGATTCTGACGGGTGAATTTTGGCAGAACTGGCTGTGAAACCCGGATTCTAACGGGTGAATTTTGACATAACAAAGTGTTGAACACGGATTCTGACGCGTAGCTGTGGCCAGATACCCGGATCTGATGGGTGCCCCAAAAACCAAATGTAAGCCCCGACATTTGCCAGAGTCAGATGACTCCAACATGTGCGTTCACGCCAGGTGCAGGGGACAGGCAGGCATGGGCAGATTTTTTTAGCGATCCATTAAATGCATATTCGCGCAACGATTGAATTGGGATCCGGCAAATGTTTTCACAGCGACCCAAAAAATACGTTTCCAATATTCGGCACATCAAAATGAAAACGGGTACAGTCGTGAGAGGGGGGGGGGGGGGGGGGGGGGTTTCGGCCGTTTTGGGTAACGGAGGCATGCCATACATCGCGCGCAAAAAGGATCGACCGTTTTGAACCATTCTTGATTTTCGTCGAAGCGCGCGATTTCCTCAAACAACGCCCTCCCACCGTCGGTCTGACTGTTCACCATTTACTAGCACAGCAGCGTTCTTGTAGAGTGCGCTGTCTGTGCTATCATAACAAGATTGTGAATTAATAAAGCGTTGACAAGATAATGCTATGATTCGTGAACCTAAAAAGAAAATCAGCTTAGTCATTTCTTAGCCTGTTACTGATGATATTAAATTTAGCGTAAAAAAATTACTTATGATTCATTTTGATATATTTACCTGCATGATTTTCATTCTGATTCTGACATTTTGATACAGGAATGAGATCACGTCGCCTAACACAAGACCCGATACTTATGGGGGATTTCTTATTTTTATTAAAAGAGTGGTTTTGATCTAGGCATCGTGCTGGGATGGATCATTTTATCAATTGAAGTGCAATACACGAGTGATTGTGCTTGAGTGAAGGGGATGGATGATCCCTTGCTAAGGGTATACAGCAGCTGGTTGGCTCCAGTCCAGTCGCTCTTCAACACTTCCTGAGCTGGTTTATAAAGTGAATCACGAGACATCAGGTTTGGACGTCACTTCTCGGTACAGTTGGTTTTCCTACTTTTGAGGCTGGTTCGGAACATACAAGCTTCGGTATCCTGACGTCACAGCACTGGACATCAGGTTCTGCATCACATGCCCCAGACAAGTCTCTTTCACTGTTTTTGTGGCTCCTGCTCTTTCCGAGGCTGCCCTGGACGCTGCGAGGATCTCTTCTGTGGAGGAACACGGCGCTGCTGCCGATTTAGGAGACTCTCCTATGCGTACTAAACCCCAGGAGAGCATTTACGGCCGCACGGTAGCGGAACAGGCGGCCGGGATGGTGGCTGCTCGAACGAGCGGCGGGAAAGTCGGTGAAATTCCGCGGCTGACTTCCGATCTGGAGACCTTCTCGAATCGCGGCCGAGATTCAGCAGCGGAGCGGGAGTCAGATGCAGCAGAGGGAGGGGCCACAGGGGGGGAGGGTGATGCGGTCGATACAGCGTCCGAGGAAGCGACGCTGCTTCGCGAGCGGTGCGGCGAGGAGCACGAGCCGGCGTGTCGCGCTTATGGTAGTACGTTGTCCGGCGCCGCCGCTACTACTAATTTCCAACCGAACGCTCGCGAGAACGAGGAGCAGCAGCAGCGGCAGCAGCACGAACCGGCGGACGGCAAGGATGGTAATTCCGAGGAGCAGCAGCAGCCGCGACGGCCGCCGCTAATCCCGGGCTTGTCGGACGACGTAGCGCGCCTCTGCCTAGCGCGCCTTCCCCGCCGCAGCCACCGCTGCGCGCGTGCCGTGTGCCGCTCCTGGGCCTCTTTGCTCCGTTCGCAGGAGTTCTTCTCTCTCCGCCGCGCTATAGGCCGCCACGAGCAGTGGCTCGTCGTGCTCGCAGGAGGTAGAGGCAACCGGCCGTTTCGATTAGAGGCCTTCGATCCGTCGTTACTGCCGCCGCCGTCGGTCCCGTCGCTCGTTAGCCTCCACCCTATAAAGTCACACTTTCTGTGGGGGTGCCAGCTGGCGACCGTGGGACGCGGGCGGTACGTGCTGGTGATTGGCGGCGCGATCGGGACGGACGCGTATCACACGCAGAACGCGGTGTGGCGGTACGATGGGGTGACGGGGCGATGGTCCTCTGCGGCGGGTATGCTGGACGCGCGTAGTAACTTCGCATGCGGGACGTTTGGGCGGTTCGTTGTCGTCGCGGGAGGGTGGGACGCGCAGCGGCAGCCGTTGAGGTCTGCTGAGGTGTACGACTCTGAGAAGGACACGTGGCACAGGTTGACTGGGTTGAACAGGCGGCGCGGGCAGTGTTTGGGAACAGTGTTTGAGGGGAAGTTTTTGGTGCTTAGTGGAGTGGACCGGATTGCTAATAACGGAACGACTATAACGACGACGCTGGGGTGCTGTGAGGCGATGGCTCTTAACGAGGATGAATTGGAACGGTTGGTGAGGGACAAGGAGAGGCGGGAAGAGGAGGATATGGCGAGGGAGAGAAAGGAAGATGCAAAGGGAGAAGTAGGGGGCGAGAGAGAGGGCGAGAGAGAGGGCGAGAGAGAGGGCGAGAGAGAGGGCGAGAGAGAGGGAGAGAGAGAGAGCGAGAGAGAGAGCGAGAGAGAGGGCGAAAAGGACTGTACTAGGAACAGGAGCAAGTTGGGGAGCGGTGGGGAGTCGTGCGTGACAGTAGGAGCTGGGGAGGCGGTGCGAGGTGTCTTGGGGCACGATGGGGAGAGGGGAGGGGGGAGAGGGCAAGACGAGGAGGAACAAGAGGAGGCGAACGTGGGTGGTGTTGAGATGGGGAAGGCGTTTGGGAGCACTGGCGCCACGACCACTGATAGTGTCACCACCAGGAGTGGTAAAGAGCAGGAGGAAGAGGATGAGCAGGGGCAGATGGACAAGGAGAAGAAGCAGAAGGAGAACGAGGGAGAGGAGGAGGAGGAGGAGCAGCAGCAGCAGCAGCAGCGGCAGGGGCATGTGCTCGGGTCGGACGGGTCTCTCTCCTGGTCCATCCTCGAGGCGGCGTGGCTGCTCGTGTCCCTCCCCGGCTCCCTCGCCGTGGTCGACAACCGCCTCTTTGCCGTTGCAGACATCGCCTCCGCTCTCCGGGAATTCGACCCCGACACCACCACCTGGACCGATGTGCTCCAGGTGCCGTACCCCCAGAAGGGCTTTCAGCTGCTGGCGCTGAATCAGGGGCTGCTGCTGCTGGGGGTGTATGGGGGACACTGGCTGATTCCGCAGAAGCTGCCGCTGGGTCAGGGCTTGAGTGTGGCGGCCAGGGTGGATGGCGCGGTGAGGAGTGGTGTGGAGGCGCGGCGGCAGCGGCAGGCGGTGCACTGGGATGGGCTGTCGCTGCTGCATACGGACGCGCTTGCCTGGGCCACCCTCACGCTCTGATGCTCATGGATACTCACAGCTTCTTTCTTTCGCTTAATCGCTCCTTCTTTCGCCTTTGCAACTGGCTGGATGTGCCAATGCCAACCCACCACTCTTAGTGGGGGCCTTTAGCTCTCAAGAACTCAGCTCTCTTGAGCCTTGTATCACGAGCCACACTCAGCCCACTCTCGCCCTCTCTCTCAGCCCTTGCCATATTGTTCTGAGAATGCCAGAGAAAGGTATTCCAACAGCAGCAGCCCCTCTCTGCAGCAGCCCCTCTCTGCGGCTGCCCGCTGCGCGTCCCTACCGCCACAGCGGCTGCCTATTCCCCATGGTGTTTCCTCCATGAACTCCGTCCTTTCGATGACCCACCCGTGCACTACCCCAAGCACGGCCCAAATTCCCAGCCAGCGTAGATTCTCAGTGGTGGTCATCTGTGTCCTCCACTGCACCTGTAATCACAGCCCCTTAGCGGCACTACGGTGCTAGCTACGTACTTGCCTGAATCTCCAGCCGTGTTCCCTTCTAGCCTTTCCTGTTTGCAACACTGCCGCAAGTGTTAGAATACTAGATTTTAATATAAAACAAGGGAGAACAAGAGAGATAGTGTTGGGGTTGTACTCACTAAGAACAAGCACCTATCTAGCCTAAAACTTCTACATAACACCATATGTATAAGTTGACACACCCCCTAGGCTAGATAAGGGGTAGTGCTGAGCAAGAAACACGCAGCTCAGGGTGGCACTACTAGTCCGGCCACTGAAAGAGAAGCCACAAGGCCAATTTGGAAGGTATAACTATAGAGGAGTACACAATCAAGGTCCTAGCAAGTGAGAGTCTACAGGAACTAGATCAAGCTGCAAACAGTTCCGCTGATGATCTCTAGGCGCAAGCGCCATAGTAAAGATATCAGTTGTGTTGGCACCGGAGGCCAAGTGTACTACGGGGACCTGGCGACGCTGCTGTAGCTTGCGCAGGAGGAAGTACCACAGGAGGATCATGGCCCTGTTGTCAGCGTACAGAACCGGGGCAAAGCTAGGCCGCTCACCTAAGTCGGCGAGCAAGAAGGTCAGCCAGCGGAGCTCCTGTGCCGCCATGGCACCAGCGTAGATCTCAGCCTTACAGCTAGACTGGGCAACAGACGAGGAGCGAGCGGACCTCCACGAGATGGCCCCTGAACCAAGGCTAAAGCAGTAGCCCTGCGAGGACCTGAGGCTCTCATCGTCGTCTGCCCAAGAAGCGTCAGCGTGGCCAGTAAGGACCACTGGCCTGCGTCCTCCCAGCACTAACCCCATGCCCGATGTACTTGCTAGATAACGCAAAACCCTCTTAGCGGCCAACCAGTGTTGTGGTCGGTGTCTACCTGTGGCCACAAAGCGAGCCAGGATGCTGAGAGGGTATGCGAGATCTGGACGAGTGCAAGTCATCAGGTACATGAGGCAACCCACCAGCTCTGCGTAAGGACTACTGGGCTCTGCTCACTCCTCAGGAACTGGAGCTGAGAGCCTGTGGTCTACTGGCTGTGGTGTGGGTTGCGCGGAGGAGAACTGAAGGCCAAACCTCTGAAGGACCTGGCGCACCAAGTGTGACTGTGTGAGAGTGATGGTGCGCGCTGCTCTGTCCCTGGAGATTAGCAAGCCAAGGTAGCGGTGCAACTCTCCTAGGTTTGTGCAGGTGTGTCTCCTCAGTAGCTCAGCCTTCAAGGAGGCCAGTGCGTATCTGTCTGCAGTAGCGAAGACCAGGTGGTCTACGTAGACAAGGATGTAGAACGGGGTCTGGCCAACAGGAACGAAGAGCGAGGGGTCTGCAGAAGACGGAAAGAACTGCAAGTCAGCTAGCGTTGCACGCAGTGTGTCGTGCCACTCACAGAGCGCTTGTCGCAGGCCGAAGACCGGGCGCCGGAGGAGCCACTGGGTCCCAGGAGGGAAGGTACCAGTAAAGCCCTGAGGACGGTGCACGTAGACCTGCTCGTGTAGGCTGCCCTGAGGACGGTGCAGGTAGACCTGCTCGTGTAGGCTGCCCTGAAGAAAAGCAGTGGAAAAGTCGAGAGACTGAAGGTCGTAGTCACGCTGTGCTACTACGTGTAGCAGCGCCCGAAGAGTAATCATCTTCGGGGTCAGGGCGAAGGTCTGAAAGAAGTGCACCCCCTCGCGCTGTCTGAAGCCTCGAACCACGTAGCGCGCCTTGAACACAGGCGGCTCTCCAGGAGGGCGCTTCACCTTGAAGAGCCACCGGCCATCGACTACGTTCACCCCAGGTGGGGGAACTGCATCGCGGTAGGTGCCGGTGGATCTCCAAGATGCCATCTCCTGCTCCATGGCAGCTCTTCACTGAGAGGCCCAGGGTTCCGAGGTCGCCTCAGCGTAAGTGCGAGGGGTCAGGAAGTCGAAAGTGTCTGGGTCACCCTCAGGGACTAGCAGCATGGAGAAGATATGGGGAGCAGCCTCGGACAGGAAAGCAAGCTCGTACTGCCTATCCTCTAGGACGTCACTGCCAAGTTCAGGTGCACCCCCGACGGACGGAGGACGGGCAGGGTCAGAGACCAGAGTGGTGGCGTAGTCAAGGCGGTGCGGGTAGAGGTGAAGTCAGCGACACCCGCGACAAGAGCGTCAAGACAGGAGACAGGAATAGACGGGTCAGTAACAAGGGAGGCAAGTACCCGAGGTACAAGAGGACGAGCAGCACGAAGCTAGTCAGACAGAGGAGGAGGTGCGACAGCGAGCGCCGACGGAGGAGGCGAAGGCAGGAGGGGAGGACGAGACGCGTGGGAACGAAGCAACATAGGGTGAGAACATAGAACAGGGGAGACAGGACGAGCACGAGAGGGACGTCGAGACCAGACGTAAGACGGAGGCGTCGGGTCAGGAGACAGAGAAGGGGTAACAGAAGGGGATCGCGGTGGGAAACGAGTCGGGGACGAGTCCGGCGGAGGAAACACAGAGCCGTTAACATGTAGGGGAGGATGCGGCGGAGGAAGCGTAGGCGAGCTGTCAGGGGAGGGAAGGCCGAGCAGGCGAAGGGCGGACACCGACGGCGACTGCTGCTGTTGCTACTGCTGCTGCTCAATGCCAACGCCGGGACCGCCAGCTGCAATGCGACGACCTCCAGAACACTCCACTCCAGCACCCCCAGAACGAGCACCGCCAGAGCGAAAACCCTCTCCAGCACCGGTGCCACCTCCGAGCCTGCCGGGACAAGCCACGACAGGAACCCCAGGATTAGCACCCTCCTCAACGCCAGCACCCCCAGAGTCCTCGACTGGCTGCTGCTGCTGCTGCTGCGGTGACGGCGGCTGCGGTGGCAACGACGGTGACGGCGAAGAGGGAGACACCAGGGAGGAGACACGCGGCGGGAGCTGAGCTGCAGGAGCACCAGAGTCAGCCAACTCCGCGACCCGGACAACTGACGGGGGGGGGGGGGGGGGGGTGACGTGAGACACACAAGACGGAGCAGGACGGGGAGGAAGGGGAGGCGGGGCGACCGGGGGAGTGGGGACCAGAAACAAGGGGCGGGGAAACCGGGAGACCTCGGTGGGGAAAGCGGTGGTAAAAGGAGACAGACTCGTCGAAGGTGACGTCACTTGAGTGAAGGAAGCGGTGAGAGTGCGGGTGGTAAAAGTGCCAGTCAGACGAGTCCAGTGGGAAACCGAGGAAGACACTGGGGACAGTGCGGGCTGTGAGCTTGTCCGTGCCGGAGGCACAAACGTGAGCGAGGCAGCTCCAGACATGGAACGCGGACGCGTCACCAGGGAACCCAGTTCAAAGAAGGGTCGGCGAAACCTGCGGCCGCTGAGAGCACGGCCAGAGGTTAAGTTGGTGAGCAGCGTAGCGAACGGCGAACGGCCACATAAAATGGGGTGCACCGGCATGGATCATGGAGGTACGAGCCACCTCCATGACCAAGGTGATGCGTCGCTCAGCGACCCTATTCTGCTGAGGGGAGTCCGGTAGGGAGTACGACTGGGTGATGGCCTCCGCACGATAGAACTGTCCAAGCCGACCAGAGGCGAACTGGCCACCACGGTCGGAGTGGAGACACAACACTGTGAGACCGCGGTGGAGGTGGGCAGCCACGACCCACGGGATAAGAACGTCAAGTACATCGGCCTTCCGCTCCAAGGGAAACACTGTGGTGTAGCGCGTGTAGTCGTCCACGAGCACTAGAAAGTAGCGCTCGCGACGCGGTCCGGGGACGGGGGCTGGGCCCCAAACGTCCAGGTGCAGGGTCTGAAGGGGTGTGGTGGCAGGATGAAGCGAGGAGGAGTGAGGAGCACGGCGCAGCCGGCCCTCAACGCAGGGCGTGCACGGCGGCGCAGGCGAGGGAGGGAGGGCAGGAAGCGATGGCGGAAAAGGCGACGGGCATCGACTCGAGGGGCCTGCTAGGGCGCGAAGGGCCAGTGAAGGCGCGAGGGGCCAGCGAAGGCATGAGGGGCTGGCGACGGCGCGAGGGGCGGGCCGGCTAGGGGCGCCTACGGCACGAGGCGACGGCAGGCACACTAGGGGCTGGCGGGCGCGCTGGGGGCCGGCGAGGCGCAGTAGGCTAGGGCGCGGGGCGGAAGTGGGTTGGGGGGGACCTAACCTACGCATGATACCATGTTAGAATACTATATTTGGGGGAGAACAAGAGAGATATAGTGTTGGGGTTGTACTCACTAAGAACAAGCACCTATCTAGCCTATAACTTCTATATAACATCATATGTATAAGTTGACAGCGAGCACCTACATTGGGTGTGTGTCCTCCAAAGCATTGCTCAAAATCAGTGGCCATTACGACAGCTACCCTATTTGATGAAAGTGCATTGAATATATTTTTTCTAGGAGCCTCCAATCCAAAACCACATTTCCAAATGCACCACTTAGCAAGAGGACGTCATAGGTAGGTACAGTGTAACAGTGGGTTTTAAGATGATTGAGAAGGGTTTTGTGCGCTCTGATGCGGTGACCACACCACTACATCTCTTTTCTGTTTATCCAAACTTTCTACACTCCCTAATGGGGTAAGTCGTTTGATACACCACCCTAAACCGTACATATCCGAGGCGAAGCACTAACCCCAAGTTGTTATGGATTAATCTGAGTAATAACAGGTAGTGTAATATAGGCGTCGTGATTCAAGAGTGTCCATACAAATGAGGACCTAGGCATTTATAGGCATGAACAGAGCTAGCCGAGAACCACGCGAACAGGTTGGGGCGGTCCGGTTGGCGAAAGCTACGGTTTGGGCTAGCCGAGAACCACGCATCTAGGTTTGGGTTCGCGAAGTGGTTCGGGACTGAAGAAGTTGGCCGAGCCTGGACTTCCGTGAGTCGAGGGAAAACGCGCTGTAGTCAAGCCCAGTAAGGAAAAGGAATTTCCTTACACCACCCCCCCTTCCGGGATGAGACTACCTACATCCGGGACAAGTCGTCGGTGTAACTAGTCCCGGACAACTCTGTATCACCGAGCGTAGTTGCGGGAACCCAGAGGTCGTCGTCACTTGTGCGATCGACCCATCGTACAAGGAGATTGACGGCCGCTGTATCTCGATGTCCCCGTACACGATGAGTGAGAATCTTGGACAGCTCGATCGTTGGCTCGGGTACTAGGTTGACCGTA